CCTCCCTTCCTTCCTCCCTCCCTCCTTCCCTTCCTTCCTCCCTCCCTCCCTCCCTCCCTTCCCCTTTCAACCAAAATGAGAGAGAAAAAAACAAAAACCGGTTTCGCGCCTCCTGTACCTTCGTCATGCGCCCCGTCGAGTAGTGGAAGCCGCCCACGGGTAAGACGATGGGCGTGTGGGGCAAGTGGGCGTCCAGGAGAGGGTCCCAGGCCACGAGGACGCGGGCGAGGGAGGCGTAGAGGGCGTCGATGGTGGGCGTGGGGGACCAGGAGGCGTCGAGGGCGGTGAGGGCGGGGACCTGCCACTGCTGACGGAGGCTCGAGATGTACCTGAAGAAGGGGGGGGAGAGAGAAAGGGGGGGGGGTGAGGGGCTTGGGTTTTACGTAACAAAATAATAGGCAATGTTGGTGTCGGGTGTCATGTGGATAAAAGGTGTCATGTATTGAGGGTGAGAGTATAATAAGCCATGGCAGTGTCGGGTGTCATATGAATGTAAGAATAATAGGCCCCGTTAGTGTCAAGAGTCACGTGATTTAAAGGTGTCATGTGAATATGAGAATGATAATCCCAGTCACTGTCAAGTGTCACATGAGTTAAAAGTGTCATATGAATATAAAAATAAGAGGATCCGTCAGTGTCGAGTGTCATATTAATGAAAGGTGTCATGTGAATGTAAAACAAAAGGCTCCGTTAGTGTCAAGTGCCATATATGAGAATAAAAGGTCCCGTTGTCAAATGAATATAAGAATAAAAAAAAACCGTTAGTGTCAGGTGTCAACTGAATATAATAATAATAGCCCCGTCAATGCCAAGTGTCATATAAATAAAAGATGTCTGATAATAAGAATAAAAGCCGCGTTAGTGTCATATGGCAAAAATATAAGACCTTGTGCCGTGTGTCATATGTTATAGTGAATAGTAGCGAAGAAAACCGCGTGTGTCAAGTGTCAAAGCATAAAATCTAAAACAAAAATACCTTCCATATTATCCAACCAAGTTCAAACCACTCTGATAAGTTCACTGACCGCGCGTGTCAGTCAGTGTCAAAGTCGTGTCGTGCGTGTCATACCACTCGCCAGCTGCACTCGTGTCTAATTGACTCCTGGAACCTGGCTGTCTCCCGCTGTCTCCCGCTGTCTCTCGCTGTCTCTCGCTGTCTCCTTACCTGTCTATCAGAATTACTCACCGATCAACACGACAGTGGACTATTACGGCGAGGCGGACATTCGGGGAAATCCAGGTGCAACGTGCATTAGCATTCTTGCAACACACACGCAAACGCACAAGCATACGCACGCACACACGTATAAACGCTTACGTAAGGATTAAACGCTCAAAAAACAAGCAGGTATACATGTATACACATCCGTATACAGTCACGCACAAATACACACACACACGCGCACATACACACACACACACACACACACACACACACACACACACACACACACACACACACACACACACACACACACACACACACACACACACACACACACACACACACGGGAAAAATATCAAGTGTGAGGTAACACGGCTGTGTTGCATAAAAGAGGGCAATAGTTATCATGCACGTGCAACAGAGAGAGTCTCAGGACAGGCAGGCAAAGAAAGACATGACTCACATCTGTATCTTTATATTAATCTTATATCATTTATCTTTATCTTATCTGTATATTTTGTCTCAGAAAGAGAGATAATAAAATAAAAAACAGTGACAAGGAACTCACCCGTAGTGTCTCGCGATGTTCGACGCCCTCGCCCAGATGTCGAGCTCCTGCATCGTCGTGGGCGGCACGGGCGTCGTAGCCAGGGGGGGGAGGACGCCCAGGTTATCCCACACCCACCACGCGCCCACCCTCGACGTCACCACGCCCACCACCGGAACGCCCACGCGCTGCGCCAGGGTGAGGACGCACAGATCGTGGAGGAAGAGGGGCGTGACCACGAGGCGGGCGCGACGGAAGGCCGCCTCCACCCACGGCAGCCGGGAGAAGAGGCCGCACGCCCTCGCCCGCGACGCCAGGACACGCCCACTCACCCACTCGGCGCCCTCCTCCTCCCCCGGGGCCACGGCGACGCTCGAGCCCCCGGGGTACAGCGGGTCGTCCTCGGAAACGCCGAGCTCGAGGACCTGCGGAGAGGGGGGGGGGGCGTTAGAAGAGGCGGAGGGAGGGGGGGGGCGTTAGAGGAGGCGAAGAGGGAGAGGGGGAGGAGGGGCGTTAGAGGAGGCGGAGAGGAGGGAGGGGGCGTTAGAAGAGGGGGACGGGGAGGGGGGAGAGCATAGGGATTGAGAGGGAGGGAAAGGGACGGAAACAGACGCAGACATAGACAATAGAAATAAAAGTAAAATTAAAAATAAAAACATCCAGACAGGCATACAAACAGACACAAAACCAGATAAAAAACTCAAAATACTACTACTACTACAATTACTACTACTACTACTACTACTAATAATAATAATAATAACACAACTTGTGCTCAATATCCACCA